GTCTTGATTTTTCTAGGATAATTTGTGAGAGAGGCTATATTAGGTTCCATCGGAGCAGTTGTGTTCACTATCGCCGGGGCTTTAGTTTCGACTTCCGTCTCCATGGGAGTTGGGTTTACTGGAGTAGTATCTGTATCTGAGCTGGAGTCTGATGTTTTAGGTCTCTTATTTTTGTTCTTCTTTTTCTTTTTCTTAATTGCAGGGATGTTGTTAGGAAGTTGATCGGTGGGTGGAGGCTGTGGGTTATTACAGGGGGCGGTAGTTTTTGGCCCTAATAAGGGCCTTGCTTGGTCGGGTTGGGTGGGAGTCGCAGGGTTATCGGTCTCTGTGGCTGCTATTTCCATCTCCAATTCAGCAGCAATTCTTTCTCGTCTGATCGGTTCCAATTTCTCTAGCCTGCATGTTCTGATGAAATGGAATAGTCTATGGCGAAAGGATAGCCAATTGCCATCTGCGATTTGTTGGTAGGAGTTGCTTTGATTTCGGTATCTTTCGATTCTATCGTCGATGTCCTCTAATGATAGGAGAGACGTCTCGTATACTTCCGCTTTGTGGGTATACTCTTTGATTTCATCGAATCGCTTCTCATTCCAGTACTTATAGATATCAATGCCAGCTGGTCTGGGAGGAGAACATCTTTTGCCGCCCCGTCCAAAACGTTGTAAAGGCATGTTGGCTCAGAGCTCGGATATAAAACACCCTTACTCTATCACGTCTCAAACGAGAATCCAAAATCAGGTTCGGCTGACCACCCAACAGGAATATATACTCCTTCACCCCGCAGACCAAGGTCAAGAAAACTGAGATGGGCACATTAGGCCTGTGAGTTGTCACGTCACTGAGTTTAGTTTAAATATGTTCGCAAGTTACAATGAAATACTTAAAATCTGTCTTATCTCTATCCTAAGAAACTAAATATAAGTCCTTTAGAAGAGAAGATGTTTTAAGTGAATTTCTACGATTAACAGCCGTACTTTATGTACTTACCAAAATTAGCATTTTATATAATAAATTGTATATTTGACGTAAAATATCAAACAACACAATCTTAAATCATTTTATTTCAACGTTGCTTGGGTAAATCTAATTGTAAAGGTAAAATCTTCATAATGGGATATCTGCAAGAGAGGTAGTGTGGGTACATCGATCCTGATCCTATCCGTGGCATTTGTTTACGTTTGCAACCGTTCTTTCCATTCTATTTCGAATAAGCCGAGCCCGTCAAGTATCAATTCTCTTTAATGAAACATTCTATATTCTTACACAAAGATTTCAATTCTTTCGTTATAGATTTTTACTTAACACAATGAGAGAGATGGGGACCATAAACAAACTAAATATGTATCAAATTTGCCAGGTACACAAAACAAAAATATATATAATAAAATACATAATATAATAAAAATATAATAAAATACATAAAATAAAATACATATAATTAAATACATAAAATAAAATACATATAATAAAATACATAAGCAAATAATAAAATACATAAGCAAATAGTAAACAAATAAAAATGATAATAATCAAAAAAGAATTATATTTCAGCAAATTCGAAGTGTGATACGGCGCTGTATTTAATTAAATTCACGTTAATTAACATTCTAACTTATACGGAGAAACTTAGCTCAACTCTGACACCCCTTTTTGCTTATAAGCGATCAGCTGGAGCTGACGTCATAGATCACGTGTGTGGGTATTGTGATCTTCTTCTTGAAGTACAAGCACCCAATTAAAACTTTTTTTCATAATTCTTTTACAAGCCATGTGTTAAAAGACCTATTTATTAGTTTTGATTAATTTGCAATAATTTACAGACCTGTCTATTAGTGTTCGAAGAGTTTTCCGCTTTCAATAGTTCACATCCAAAAAATGGCTTTCTGCTGATTTAGCAGAGGATCAGACTTTGCAAAATAATCTATATCAAAAACTGAAATTATAACTATGCTTACGGAATTTTAAAACTGCATTTTATACTGCATAATATTGTAAGAACGATTCGATTTGTTTGCCCATTTCGTGTAGCGGTTATATAAAACGAGTTAAGCAATGGCCCCTCCAAAATTTTTATCTAGAATCAGTTCATTGAAAGATTTTCTTTTAATCCCACATCGAGATAAAATACTTCTCACATAAACACCTAACATTTTTATAAACTAAATTTATTTTGTCGTCACATGTCAGTTTTAAGACACCTCAACTCTTTCAAACGTCTGATTCCTTGATAAGCTTGAAAACGTGATGACTTTTACACTTAATACTTGTTTTTAGAAAGTGAAAAATGTATCCTTGAATTTATCTTCCTTTTTGTTCCTATCTTAGAATAAAATAAAACAAAAGAAAACTTTGTTCTTTATTTATTAAATTCCTATAGTTACTTTCTGAAAATTTACACTTCCTATATGAAAAGCTTCTACCCTGCACTCTGAGAAAATCAATTCAACGTAGATATTTTAGTTATTGAGTATTTTTTTTTCTTCAATTAAATTGATTAAAATCCCATGGTGTTTACATCTGAAAGAAAATTTAAGGTAGATAAACAGAACAATACCAATTTTTCAAGACAAATATTTTATTTTTGTTTATCAGTATAGACGGTATCGTCAGAAAAGGAACAAAATTTAACCTTAATCTCAGAAATTACTGATAAAGAAGCTTAAATTCGTGTAAAAACACAACCCCTAACATTAAACCACAATATCGGAAGCATAATATTTTGAATAATTTCTTTATCATTCATAGTTATTAATAATAATTTGAATTTCTATACTCTGTTGAAAGTTAAGAAAAAACCATTAGCCGTAGGGAGAGAGCCTATTTGCATCCAAGTCGATGCGAAGTTCCAAGAGCGAACGAATATCAACATCGCCAACTCTTGAAGCACGAATTTAATTTCTGTCCAACGAGTTTGACTTTTAAAATGTTTTGAAAGCATATTTGTATAATTTGATAGCTAAATAAAACGGAACTATATGCAGTAGAGGATGATTACTTAAATTCTACGCCGCAATGGTCTTTTCTTAACTTACAATGAAGTATAGAATTGAAAATAGTCGTCCATTTTTAAAATTTATTTAAAATCGGTCGAATTTTAAGTACATGGATTTTTTTTAATATGGTACAATATTGCACGGTTTTAAAGTTGTGGCGCACTTGAATGGTAATACGGTTTGAGACACTTCCTATTACCTATTACCTTATTCCTATATGACTATTATTATTATTATTATATGTTGTATATTTATTAATGTAGCATTCTCCTCAAGAATTTGTTTTTAAATTTATGTTCCTTTCTCCATCTTTTTAATGTTAATCGATTATTTAAGTAAATATTCGATAATATCGTTTAACTTCTTTTGGAAATTGGCTTAAGTTTTACGCTTTATTAAAAACTGTAAAAAATTATTAGGTTTCTAAAAATTTATCTAAAGTCATGATTTAAACTAGCAAAATAATAATAATAATATTGGGTTGTTCAGAAAAATTTGATTTTTTCCATTTCATTTTAAACTTAGTTCGAATAATCTTTATATATCTTGACAGTTGACAAGGCTGGCAGTATTTTTTGATTGGGGCTCTTTTGAATGTGAAAAGTGAAACATTTTTGACATATTTTACTTTTTTTCTATCAAAAAATAAAAGTTCCGTCCAAGCGAGAAAAAATTATCAGACTTGTATGAAGATGTATTGTCATTAAGGATGCATCGTGTTCTGGAAAACTTGTTTTATTTTATTTTATTTAATAACCGTCGTTGAACAACAGACCCAACTTTTGGGTTTGCGACTACTAGTGTTCTACTCCGTAGCCCAGTAATTTTGAACCCAATCCAGAAGACAAGCAAACTTTTGCCAGTAGTGTGTACTTTAACTAAAATCAAAATTGTCATTTTTACGCATTTCATAAACTATTACACAAATTTAAATCATTACTTTAAATTTTTAGAGTTAATGGAAAGGATTATTAATCCCTGACTAAAAACAGTACTTGAAAATAATTTTTAACTTGAAAATTTATTGGTATAAAATACGAAATAATTACCAATTAATACATTTTTAATGAATTTTTGAATATAAATGAAAGGAAATTTCAAACTATACTTTTTTTGGATTTTATATTTCAGTACAAATATAATTCCAATAATCTACCAGATTATTTTAGTAACTATTAGACATTTTTCAGAATTAAAAAATTCTTAAATATATTTCTACTTGTAATTACAGTGTCAGGAGAAAAATATGCAAAATGGACACTGGTGTTCTATCTGCGTCAAAGAAAAAATAGGTGAAAATAAATAAACAAATAAATAAATTAATATATAAATAAATAAGTAAATAAATAAATAAATAAATAAATAAATAAATAAATAAATAAATAAATAAAAAGCGTTAATTATTCTAGCAATGATAAGGATGATAATCATCCAGTGAGAAACATCTTATTAACACTTTAATAAAGCTACAGCAAATGTACTTGCTATAATGATTACAAATATTTTAAATTTTAGTACAAAGTTAGTTAGTACAAATATTTTAATATTTTAGAGTTGTTGCATAGTTAAAAACTTGCCTATACAAAATATATTTCACTTACGGTGGAAAAAAAAAGTATTTAATTCTTTTATACATTGAAATTACAAGCAAAAAATGTAACATTATTGCATTTTGTATCTTTGAAATCCGGAAATCTTATTTAATTTATTTGTTTTAATAACTGTCAAGTCAACAAGTTCATGGAAAGGCATCTTTATTTATTTATTTTTATTTCAGCTGCGATCTAAGAAATCAGCTAAAAATAAATAAAAACTTTCATTCCCTTAATTCATTTGACGCGATGATATGCCGTGATATTTATAATTTCAATATCTAAATGCGACGTAAATGCATGCTTGAAGATCTAAAACAAGAATTGCATGTTACGGAATATAAGATTCACCAAGAACGATAAACATATTTCTTTTTTTAAAAATAGAACAACCAATAATAAGCTTCATCAATAAAGATAAGAATCAGTTTTGTTATTGATCTCATCGGAATCAACGTGGATTAAAAAAGTCCTTTGAATGAGATTGTTTTTCAATTGATTGTCCGACCTTCGATCGAAATTGTCAAAACTTCGTTTCCGAATTCTTTGGTTTTTAGGAGAAAAAATGATTAAGGTAAGTTGAATCAATAATTTTAGGGACCCTTAATCGTTATTATTGGAAAATGTATATATTTGTTGTGATTGTTTCTCTAAAATGCTGTATTGAATTGTTTTTAACGCATAGCAACAAGGCAAGGCGGGAGAGCATTACTCAAATCTTAACTTGAAGCCATGACAACAGTTAAATTTAATTCCCAGTAAAAATTTCAGTGAAAGTTTATATTTCTGCTTAGTGACAGGACTTAACATAAACTAGTGCAAAAATTTCGTATAGATTCCCTAAAAAATATTTCATATATTTCTGCTTAGTGACAGGAATTAACATAAACTATTCCAAAAATTTTGTATAGATACCTTAAAAAATACTTCTTATATTTCTGCTTAGTGACAGGTAAGCTTAGTGGCAGGTCTGCTAAGTGACAGGTAAAACAATGTAAAACGTATTTTTTTTCAATTCCGGATGTTTTCAAATAAAAATAAGAGTGTAAAGTTTAAATAGGACAATTACTTGATATTATCCTTAAAAATGCACTGTAAAAAATTATGGATCAAACCATGGTATAAAGTACCAGCACTTTGGGTGCATCGTTCGTAAAATTCATTTTACCACAAAATGTTATACGATAATTTCTTTAATAATATTTATTTAATTCAAGTGATTCAGTGATTTTGCGGTAACTATTACGGGTAAAAATTTCGGTATACCAGATATTTTCGATACATGTTCCGGCAAAAATGTATTTTATTGTAAAAAGTATCGGCTTCTTGAGTTCCGGTGCTTTGTACCGTAATTTAATTCAGAATTTTTTACAGTATTGCAGCAATCGATTAATTCTATTATTGTTAGAAAGATTTTTAGAAAAACATAATTTAGGGCTTTGATGAATGACGTATGAAAATTAACGTATGAAACAGTGTTATTATTGTAATAAAAATATATTAGTTGTTTAATCTCATTTATTCAGTTTGAAAATAATTTTTCAATTATTTAAATATTTTTTTATGTTTTTATGAAATATTCAAATAACGAAATGACATTTTCTTGCATGGGAAAGAAATTATTTCAGTGCTAGTTTTACTTAAATAGAAAAATATATTACGTAAGTAGTGAATAGTTATTGCATACACGAAAAAAAAAATATAAAATTAGCGTATTTGACATTTCTGGTAAGAAAAAAAAAACATAATTTTGGCTAACAAAACCGAAATATATGGCGTTTAAACCATTCATTTGGTAATTTTTCTGTTTTGGTAATTTTTCGAAAATTCTCGTTTTCAAAATCGTAGTTTTTATAAGCAGAAATAAAGTAAAAGAAATCTGTAGCTGAAAACAAATTTCAATAAAAAAAAAATTGATTTTTACACCATGCTCGAAGGTATCTGATAAAATTACCAAATTTTATCACACATTACTTAACCATATTTTATTGCTTATTTTACCAAAATCATTATCAAAGCATTTCGGTAAAAATGACCGAAGAACCAGAAATGCGATAAATTTTATAATATTCTGGAAGTTTCGCGGCCATACTTTTTTTCTCAGTGCATTAATGTATTGTTTAAGATAATCTGACGACGTCCCTAAAGTTTGATGAAAAAACCTGTTCTAGTGTTAATTTTACTGAAATAGGAAAGTGTAGTGCATACGTATCGAAAATTTGAATTTAGAATAGGCTGTTGTTAACATTACTGTTCCTACTTCTTGAAAAAAAACGTCCAATAGCTTTATAAGATTTACAAATAAGTCGGAAATTATATACAGCTTTAAAAATAAGTCGGTAATTTAAATAAAAAAAATAAATCATATTTTGTCTTTATAATCCAATAAGAAGGGAAAAGTCATTTCCTTCCAGCGGTTTATTCTACATCTGAATCGAAGAATTCTATTAAAATTCGAAAAAATGATTAAAACTGCAGTAAGAATTCTATTAAAATTTGAAAAATGACTAAAACTGCAGTAAAAATTCTATATAAAATTCGAAAAATGACTAAAACTGCTGTTATAGAATTCTATTAATCTTCGAAAAATTATTAAAACTGCAGTAAAATTTTTATTTAAATTCGAAAACATGATTAAAACTGCAGCAAGAATTCTATTAAAATTCGAAAAATGACTAAAACTGCAGTAAAAATTGTATTAAAATTCGAAAAATGACTAAGACTGCTGTTATAGAATTCTACTAATCTTCGAAAAATAATTAAAAATGCAGTAAAATTTTTATTTAAATTCGAAAAAATGATTAAAACTGCAGGAAGAATTTTATTAAAATTCGAAAAATGATTAACACTACAGTAGACGTTGTCTGAGACAGTTTATCAAAAAAAAAAAAAAAAAAAAAAAAAAAAAAAAAAAAATTACACTGACTATGAAAGTATGGTCAAAACTACCAGAATAATAAAATTACCGAGTTTCTGGTTCTATGGAAACATCAATGAGCTCTCTAATTTTTACTGAAGCACTTTGGTAATGATTTTGGTGAAATTAACGATAAAATATGTTTTTATAATTTGTGTTACAATTTGTTATCATGATACTTAGTAAGAATTTGCTTTATAGTTTTTGTATTTTTTACTAAATATGTGATAATGAGAATAATAAGTTTGAAAGTCAGAATTTCCGAGGAACGAAAAATTATCAAATTAATGGTTTAAATATCATATATTTTGGTTTCATTTCCAGAATTATAATTTCACTCGTTAGAAATATCATTACCATATAGTATGATAATTTTTCCAATTTTTTCTTTCATTTACAATTAAATTTCCTGTATTTGATTTTAAACCAATTAAACTACTTTTTAAACTTGAACTTTTATGAGTTTTAACTGTCAGTGTTCAATATAATGTTAAGAAATTTTAAAATGCGCTGATATAATGATTTAATGATGAAACAATTTTTCTGAGATAGTATAAACAGCAATAACTTCGCTTCCACCAACGGAATATGTAAATGAACTTTGAAGAAAACTGACTTTCATTTACCATTTTGTGATGAAGCTTTAAATAAATAAAGAAATAAATTTAACGAACAAAATTATATAAAATAAATAAAATTACTTAATATAAATAAAATTCTATAAAATAAACAAAATTTTATAAAATAACTAAATAAATAAATAAATAAATAATTAGCATTCTTTAATTTGTGTAAGGCCTTAGGCAGCAAGCAAAGGAGCCTGAAGAAATTTTTTTTCTCAAAAGGGTACAACTCGAAAAAATAAGTTTTATAATATTTGAAAAATTGTGAATAAATGCTTTCTTTTTTGAAATTCTAAATAATTTTTTGTTACGAATGCCTATTAGAATCTTTTACTAACAGTTTCAAAAATTCGTTTAAAATTTTTAAAAATATCGTTTAAAAATTATACTTCATTTAGATTATTTAAAATCAATACATGAAATGTTCGCAAAAGAAAACTAAAGCAATCCAGTATTTTATTGTTTTCTGAAGTTTCATATTATTTTTAATTTTTGTTTTTTTGAAATACTTTTATTGAGTTATATGTGATTTGAACACAAACCAATAAATAATATAAAACTTAAAAATAATATTTTTGCAATGGTGTTTGACGAGGAGAGAGTTCTATATACTACATCATCATCATCACAAAATAAAATTTTTTAATAAATTAAAATTAAGAATTCTGAGCCTTCATAAACAAGACATAATATGATACAAAATATGGTCTTTATTTTATTAAATTTTCATGAGATTAAAGTACACCCTGTTATTCTATTTGCGAGCATTATCAATAAAGAACATTTGTTAATATAAAATTAAAAAAAGGTGCGAAAAGTATTTGTTTTAAAGCATAAAAGGGTAAAATTACACTATTAGAATTTACATTCCAAAATCATGTTAAAATAAGTGAGAGAAGTCTGTCCATCCGTAATTTTTACGGCTATAATAATACGGCTGTAAAATTTACGGCAAAGAACATTTTTAACCTTTATGGTTTTGAAACAGTTTACAATTAGTGTGGTTAAAAAAGCCATGGATACAAATCTATACTGGTTTTTAACCCTTTGCATGGTTTCAAAATCGTAAAAAAGAAATTTAACTGGACATGAAATAGTTTACCAGTTTTATAGTGCTGCCAACTATAAGCGTGAATGAGGCTAGCGTGTTCTAACAGTCCAGGGTCACAAATTGGGGAGTACAGAAAACCGAAAACTCTTTATGTGTTAAGAGTAAGGGAGGAAATATTGGGGTGTCAAAGCTGGGATTCGAGCCCCCATTATATCGAGCATGAGATTAACAGCCTTCTCGTCAATAATATGTACTCACCTGCAAGGCTTTATAGGCTTTAATAGGTGGTTCTAGTTGGTGCGATAAAATTCTGGCTGTAAAACAGTATTAGGTGAAAGCAGTTAATAAACGTTTTTCTCACAGTTTCAATACCATCTTAATTATGCTTATTTGCCTGTTTTGTTCGAATAAATAACAATTAAATAAATTGTTATGTAACCACTTTTTCCAAAATTTTTTAAGTTGCTATTTTTTAACTGCTATTTTCGAAAAGACAACTTTAAGTTACTATTTTTCAAATGTACAATTTTAAATTATCTTGGCACAATACCAATATAGTTATCAAATATATTTTACTTTAAAATAGGATAGATAAAATATAATGCATTTAATAACTATGTTGGCATTATACTAGTAAAAGCTATGAATTAAATATTTTTTTTATATATAAATTCATAGATATATTTAAAAATAGGCTATTTAAAAATTTATAACTCTTTTTATAATTAACATATGAATGAATTAACAGTACAAAGGGAAGAATATGAGCGTTAATTAGTGATTATTATTTTTCGTAAAATTTTCAGCTTACAAATACTTTTTCAAAAAAAAAAGAAAAATATCAAGCTTAAAAATTAATTTTTTAAGATTGAGTAAAAATGATATTTATTTTATGAAAGTTTCATTCTTAAATGTATAATTCAATTGAAATTAAAATATGAATGATTAATTATTTAAAACATTTATAAAATAAATGTTGCTTT